CTTTAAACTTCATTGACAAGTATGAGAAATCGCATAACCTAAATACTTAGAAATTTATAAAATGATTATCGAAGTATTTTTTTTTTGAGAAACATCAAAAAAATGTGTCAGTATTGAAATGTTTTAATTATTTTGTCCAATCAAAATTAAATTTGTTACACCAAAATAATTGTTACAATAATTGTTACACCAAATCCAATCAAATTGTTGCATCAAAATTGTCAAATTAAAAAATGACTAGTTTTCTATCAACAAATTTCTTAAAAATATGGGTATATGTCATGTTTAAAGATATAAATAATTAAAGAAAATATTCCCTCATTTATTTATAGATTAACTTGTATACCGTATAATATAAAATAATGCGATTTTATTTTCGCATTTCACAAGTCAAACTATTCTATGAGAATTTTCGACAAATTATTTTTATGTTTTTCATTCACCATGAACGTGAGGCTACAACAATTTGGAACTTTTATAATAATTTGTTACATTCTGCTTCGAAGTTTGCAGTAAATAATACTTTGCTTTGGTAAAATATCTAAAGTATTGTACCTTTTTCTAATTTTCATGTAACAACGAGTATTGTTTATCATTGCATAAGGTATTTTAAATTTCTTTTTTATAATAAGCTTCTCATTTCTAATAGCTTATAAATGTCTGAATTTATTCTTATCTAACTGTGACGTAAAAATAAAATAAAATTGCAATTTAACACAATTATATTAAACATTTTTCACCAGCCCATATGAACTATGGAGCTCAATTTTCAAAATATGTAATAACATTTGATTATTTAATTTAAAGAGCTTATTGTGAATTTTTGTATTATTTATTTTCTCTACAAGTATACGTACTTTTGAAAATATTTGTAACAATTAAATGATTAAAAAAATACAAGATAGGCTAAGCCAAGTTTGTAAAAAATCACCATAATAGTGTAAAAACTCTCAATGTCCTAGTCTCTTAGTTTAACAATTTTCACTAACTTCTAAGAAATATTAATATACTATATATATATATTCCTATAGATAAATTTTAATACATACCACTAAACTGAGTAACATTTATTTTTATAGTGCAGTGTCATGCAGAAAGAACGGGTTCCGCAGTGGACTGATTGTTAAGACACGGCTACCAGCAGATCAAGGAAGTCAAGCAGCACTTGCGACGGTCAGTGTGCAGGTGGGTGACCACTTGGATCAGCCTGCGTAGGGATCGAGGGTGTGCGGTATTGGTCCTCGTTAAACTGTGCTACCGTAAAGTGCTCGACTTCGCGCGCAGGTCGTCGGGCTACCGAAGCGGGGGTGCCATCCCCTCCGCAGAGGATCAAAATTGTGATAGCATGTCTTCGGATCATCCTCCGGGATGCTTCCCAGACCGTCGCCAATAACCCATTGTGAAACTCTAGTGCGACGTAAATTAACAACAACAGCAGCAGCAGGAAGAACGGATACTGATTCAGGAGTTTACTATTGGAATGCCACAAATCATTCAACAATTGCAACAGTAAAATGTCCATTTGGGATTCCAGATACCGCACTTGAAGCTATTGTTTCGAGGGAATGTGTTCTAGATGAAAATAAGACTTCATGGAATCCTGTAAATGCATCTTTATGTAAAGGAAAAGTAAGTCACCATTTTGAGTACTTTCTGTGAGTTTTCTTACGATGAGTAAATCAGATTGTGTAACTTTTGGTATCGTNATATATGTGATTTATTTTTGGGCTACAAAATGTTCGAATCCGCTACTTTTGGAGCTCCCATTCGCTACTTTTTAATCTTAAGTTCTGGCAACACTGATCAGGAACTCTCAGATTCATGCGTCTCGAATGGACAAATATCCTTTCTGATAACGCCCATGTCTTTTTGCTCGTTTGTTACCGTTCTCTTTTATCTTTCCAGTCAGTCGGAAAACGAAAAAAAAGATATCACCCTGAATAACTTTAGTTCTAATGATCAGATTTTCACCTACTACGTGTCAATCTTAATGGTTCTTGGGGGTGATCTTAAATATGCAAATTATTTAGTGCTAACTATTAATTAAGTTACGAAATCGGACACAAAAACGTGCATTCTCTGAATAAACATATATTTTTTAAATACATATTTGGATTCAAAATATAGGGCAAATAATCAATGTGAGACAAGTTATAGATGCTCTAAATAGAAAATTTAATGCAGTTATATGAAAAACAACATCTCCTGCCTTTTTTTTTATTTCGATTATTTTGAGTTACATTTAAAATATTTAAAGCTAAAGAATGTGCGAAATAATTTATAAAAAAAAGCTATATTGGGAAACACTCACATGCTAATTCTACTTAATAAATTGCACCAAAAAACATTGTTTATTATTTAAAAAAAAGTTATTTATTAAATTCTTAAGATATTAAACCAAAAATCGGCACGGTGCCAAGACATTCTTAAAAATGTTCTTTGAAAGAAAAAGATTTTGTTAAAAAAGATTTCAGTGTTTAATATTTATGTTTAATAATATGTAAATAACAATAAGATATACATAGTGTACCCCCTAATTGACCTATAATTATTTCCTGTGGTAGGGTACACTATTACCCNTTTCATTTTTTAAATATAAAAACCAAGCAATCATGTTGTTCTGGCAAAAATTATTTGCCCAGTTTAAGAAAATAATTTTAGAAAAAGGACTTCCAAATTTTACATGGTTCACTGTAAGCCTGTATAAAACAAGCTTGTATAACATTATAATTAATTTGCTTTTACTTCATTTAAAGTATTTTTTATTTTAATCTCTATGTCTACTAAATTAAGAATAATTTTTTAAATAATTTATTTATAATTTGACATTTTTATGCCAAAAATGTTTGTCGATGAAGTTACATATTTGAACACACATTACGGATGGAAAAATGTATACTTTGCGTCAGAGATTTGACTATCTTAGTATTTTAGTCTAAAAGGAATTTTATTTGTCTGGACTTCAACCCAGGTTCACAATTCCTGTTTAAAAAATATTCTTAAATAACTATTTTTTATATTTTACTTACTTTATATGAAATCTTTATATTTGATCATATTGCATGGCAGTGAATGACGACCAATAACAAAAACAGATGAAGAAAGACTAATAATATTTTATAAATATTTGGCTCAATTAGAGAAAATGATAGTTAGAGAATTCCATTCAATCATGAAATCAACAAACTAATATGGGCATGACTTTATCAATCATGACCCGTGTAGTAAATGGTGACTGATGCATATTAAATCTGTCGAGTTGCAAGTCCTCCATGTGCCCATAACAGATCAATACCTCTGGGGGTACTCATCCAGGAGATTCCTTGTTTCTGGATAGGGTCAAAATTACAAGGCTACGGAGTTGAACATTAGTAGTCGTAAACACATAAAATTGGGTCGGCTGTTCAACGAGTTATAAAATAAAATATATACAAACAAGGCGGGGATAGCCTGGTTGGTAGGGCACTGGGCCCACGCTCAAGAGTTCGTGGGCTCGATCCCTGACGGCTGAAGACTCCCTAAATGGTGACAGATGCATGTTAAATCTGAGGAGTCGAAAAGTCCTCCAGGCTCTTATAACAAATGAATACCTATGGAGGTACTGATCCAGGAGTTTCCATGTTTGTTCAACGACGGATATAAGAATACATACAAACTGAGCCGCGATGGCTCAGGGGATAGAGCGTTCACCATTCAATGAGGCAAACTGGGTTCGAATCCCAGTTGATACAAAAAGTGTTTTTGTTACTCCTATGAATATATGACTTCTTGTTGTTCTGTTAAATAATAGAGAAGATTTGTACTTACAATTCTGTGATATTAGTAAACCATGTTAGTGTTCTTTTGGATTTGCATTGTTCTCTTAGTGAGGTACATTGCAAAGTTATGTTGAAACATTTCTTCTCTTTGACGAAATCATAATTAATCACCTATGAGTTTGTTACTTCATCATAAAAATGTCAACATCGAACTTAATGTTTACATTATGAACAGTGAGAAAAGGGTAGTATAAACGCAGATCTGACTGATTAAGCATAATTAACGATATTTCCAACATATTATAGTTTCTACAAAAGCTTGATGAGGGTCAGGAGAGTCACGGAGGTTAAGACTCTACAATTTCCTGATCATCAAGATGATGTCAATGTTATCATCATTATGCTTAAGCTACCTTCACTTCCCAGGCAAACTTGTACCTATTGATCTGAAGATGGGTGATCTTCAAGTCACCACTCTGGATCAAACTCTCCATAGATTAAGGAAAGTTTTAATAGCATAAAATTGTTTTTCAAACAATAAAAAGAAGAAAAAAAACATTATTACAATGGTACACATGCATTTAAAAAAGTCAAAAAAATATTAATTAAAATTTAATGAAAAAAATCTGAGTTTATTTGCAAACTACAAATAGAAAAATCTATAAAAAGTTCATTTATTGCTATTATTTTGCAAACTTGAAAAAAATTCAGATATACATTCTCGCAAATTTTATTTTCATGTAAAAAAAATATGAAATGGTAGCTTTCACCTTCAAAATGGTAGCTAACACCTGCTTTAATTGGAGATAAAAAGTGTGTTTTTTTAAAATAAATATAACCGAACTTGCTTATAACAAGCACAAAGGGATCGCATTATTTGCTCGTTATCACAGAATGCTCTTATTAGATGGGCTCAAGAAAAAGTTTATGCATATTTTCTAAACAATAAATAAAATACTTTCTTCATTTTTATTTTAGTACCGTAGAAAAGCAGTTAATTAATTTGCTACAAACTGTCTTATTGACTGTTGCATTTTTATTCTTAGGAGAAGAATCATTGCCCTAAAAACATCATTTGCACTGCTGCTTTCTAAAAAAAGGTTCAAATGTTTGCTGAATTTATGAATTATCATTTACTTTTAATTGTCTTTGGATTGTTAAGGAATTGTTCTAAAAAGTCTTTAGCTAAGTTGTAAAGGGGGAAGTACATAGAAATTTTATGAATCACAAAAATACTGTGGGCGTTAAAAGCGAGCTATATTCCAATAGACTTAATGCACCAACCAAGTATTCTAGATTCGTTTGTTAAATCTGGGGGCTTGCTAAAAGTGAGCTTAAATGCATTTTATATAGTAAGCATGCAATATATTGTACTTCTTAGGAGCCAAAAAAAGTTGATAGATCCAAATGCAAGATAGAATTAAGGTAAGTGTAAAATTAGAGAAACAAAAAAGTACAAGGATATTGTGATAAATTTTGTTAGTAAACAGGGTGATTAAATAACACTTTCCCCTGTTAAGACCAACACAGATTCGTTTCTGGTTGAAGTATGTTAATGAAACTTAGTACATACTTAATAATATAAAACATGGGAAAAAAGAAATCTGCAATAAAAAAATATTAGTTCGCATTTTAACCACTTGATGAGAAAAAGGTACACATAAAAAACATGTCGGTGAAGTGAAATTTTATTTAAACATAGGGCATAATCAATGTGCATTGCAGTTTTACCAAAACACATGTTCAAAACATGATAAACAGAATTCAACCAATTCATAACAAATGGTTCTTTGATCTATTACAGAAACCTGGCTGTATCACGTTTGCTTTCAATTCAATTCTATTTGAAAGCTACTTTTACCTTTCTCTTGCAACACACCTCTACCTGTAATTCCCTATTGTCTTTGAATTCAGAAAAGAAATCAACTTTTGCAATTATTTCTTCTGTAATGCTAAGGTGCAGAATGATATTATAGGCAGTAACAATGGATTTCTAAAACTGTTCAAAATTGCATTAAAGTTTTATTTCATACATAAAAAATTACACCTATCGTTAGAAATATGAAATTTTTTTATTAAAGATTTCTTTTTTCCTATTATCCATATAAAATACATACCAAGTTTCATCAACATCTGTCCACCAATATGGTCTAAACAGAGTACCTTTAATTGAAACCAACCTGCACAATCAGAGTAAAACGAACATTCTTGGTACCAATCCAAACCAAAGATGGTTAGTTCCCTATTCCCAATGCTACATCTAAAAAAAATAGATAATATGAATAATTGTATTCTATCACAAACGGGTTGGTCGCTATGGCCTCCGGCCCCGCGCCAACCAACCAAAACATAGTGATATTTTTCCTTCACTTGTTGCTGAGGGTGGCAACGAGTGACTGAGAGGGGGCCATGTGTTTTTTAAAATGTAACCCAGTAGTGTGTGTTTTAAAGGGAGTTTAAAAAAACTATCTCCTACAATTGTATGATGTATAAATTTTGTTTTAACATTTTTAATAAAGCCTTATAACTGAAGCTATTAAAAAGTGTTATAATTCTAAATTGCAATGAATTCACATAATATATTCCCGTATCTCTTGAATTCTGAGAAATACAGTGTAAAGTCGCGTATCCGGAATCGGTGGGACTTCCAGAAGTCCATATAATAGATTTTTCCGTATAATAGACCCCCAAGGTAAACAAAGCTTAAAATGATTTAATAAACGATCTGAATCTAAGAAGCAAAAAATAAATAAACATTATTTTTAAGGGGAATAATGTTTTAGCATTAAAATATCTAATCAATCAAATATAAAATATTAGAAAAAAAATATTATTGCTGAAAATATGGAAAACGAAAAAAATTTAACAGTTACGAAAATATTAATCCGCCATTTTGAACTAGAACGATTCAAGCAGGAAGGGGAAATTCTGGAACAAAGCTTAAAATGATCTAAATCTAAGAAGCAAAAAATAAATAAACATTATTTTTAAGGGGAATAATGTTTTAGAATTAGAATATCTAATCAATAAAATATGAAATATTAGAAAAAAAATATTATTGCTTAAAATATAGAAAGCGAAAAAAAATTGACTTATGAAAATAATAATCTGCCATTTTTAACTAGAATGATTCAAGCAAGAAAGGGAAATTCCCGTCATTCATTAAGGTGGGTAGGTAGAGGAGAAAAATTCATTTCCTTCGTATTTGTGAAAGAAGATAAGTGTAAAGAGGAGATCATTTAAGTTGAGGGTGGGGAAGTATCAAATTATTGTTTTCTCTCCAATCATTGGCTATCAATCAAGCATAAAGGCGGGCATGCTGATCGGGTTCTCTTTATTTTTTCTTCTATGACTGAAAGAATCTGCTAAAGAAAGAATGTTACCCCCTTTCCCCCCGCCTCCTAAATATTACATGGTACGGGGAAGAACGAATGTTTTGTTTCTCAAGGACGTGTATCCTTTTAGACCTATTCAAATTTTTCATTTTGACTCCCCCTCCACCTTAACGCTTGCCCCGTTTAGCGTTTTCCACAGTATTTCTTCTTTCAATAAAAAGGTTCCAGGAAATGCCTCTTTTACTAGCCATCTTCATGGGAAAGGAGGGGGGGAGGGGACTCAGTTGCGGTCTTTTGAAAACAAAACTCCCTCTTTTTCCTACATTCCAAGGGAGGAGCGTCACTAACGGTCACTCAATGGTCTTGGTAGATCTTCACTTCCCCTTTCTGGTGATTTATGGGTTGGATGCATAAATCAGAGGTTCAGTGCAATGCAAGCTAGAAAAAGAGAAAATGCGTCAAAAGACTTTTTTTTTTTTTGTAGGAAAGGGGAAGAAGGAGAGATGTTTGTTTATTTTGATTGTTAAAAAGTGTCCGTGAAATCGACCCTTCCGGGAAAGGGACGTCCGGATATAGGACGTTACACCGTATATATATTTTTCAAAGGATATTGCAAAATTTTTTTTAAGGAGCGTAATAAAAATAGAGATATATCGAAATCCATGATATATAACCCATGATATATATGAGATATATAATCCTTTCTACTTTTACAAAAATCAAACTCATTACTTAGTTTTTAAAAAAATATAAAATGTAAAAGCTGAATTTAATTAAATGTTTAAATAAAATGAATACATTTTATTTTTGATCAGAATTATTTAAAATGATTAAAGGACATGAAATAGACTGAAAAAATATAACATGCTAATTTGGAAACTAAGATTTCATCTGATTTTCAATCAAAAGAACTTTATTACTCCGGGAACAAATTAAAAAGGGTTATGCTCTTATGCCAAAATAAATAAATAATAATTGGTATAAAAACTAGTATATGAAAATACTGAGTATTATGGCCATACAATTTTCATGTAAGAAATAATAATTGTGTATCAACACAGATAATAAGTTAAAAAAATAAGGATTCAATTAAAAATGAAATTAATTAGCAACACAATTATGTTTTTATAACCAGTAAGTATAACTGTATTTTTTTTTTAATCAGAAAGAAATAAAACAATATCTTTTATAAATTTATTTTAATATACAAAAGAGCAGTATAAAAATCGTATTACATTAAAAATAGTCACATAATGATATGTTACAAAAAATATTCAGTAGTTTTTTTTATTTTGCAAACTTAATTTACATTTATCACTTATTTTATGTAAAAAAAAGACACTCTTACTAATTAGAAACAAACAGTATGACAGTATTATAAAAAAATACATGTTAAATAATTTTTATAATTAAACCTTTTCCAACCAAAAATATAAACTTTTAATATACACCAATCACAGTTAAGAGTTTTCTCCATCAAACACTGGTAAATTATCATGATCTAAAAAAAAAAGTATAAAATCAGTACCAACTTAATCCAAAAAAGTATTACATAAAATCTTTAAAATAAAAAAAAGAACAATAAATTATTGCAAAAATGCATGTAAATTTCTAGAAAAGTCTCACAAAGCATAAGTCATAACACTCCAATGAAAATCAGAGTTGAAAATATTGTGAAAGTTCTGCAGTACTTCAAATAAAATATTAAAACAGGAATCAATAAATCGCAATTAAGAAGTTTTTATTATTTACTAATTTTGTGTTCTAGCTTAAAACATGGTAAAATTGATATTTTCAGCATTTTTCAAATAATCTAAAACATTAAATAAGAAGTGTACTTTTATTTAATGTATCGGCTTTTACTGCATACAACAGGTATTTATTTCTTCTATGTAAGATGAAAAAAAAAATTTAACTTCAAAGCTTAATTTTATTTGATTTGATAAACTTAAACGATTGATTTGGTTGCTATTATCACCTAACATCTTCATTTAATATGCACATTAAAAAAAAAACACTCAACAACTAAATATTATTTTAGTAACACATGCAAAATAGTGATTCCCCCTTTGTATGTCATTAATATGAAAAGGTCGTGCTACAGCATTATTTATATTAATATTATTATTTAGCTGTAAGTAATTTCTTTATTTTTATCTAACAAGTCAATAAAAGAATTTTAATACAAAATATTTAAGGCAATATGTTTTTTTTAAATTAAAATATAATTGAAAATAATGAAAAGGAATAAAAAGGGGCTGCATACGAAATAGTAAAAGGCTGTTTTAGTACTAATAGTTTGTAAATAAATAAATAAAAAAAAAATTTAAAAAGTTTATTTTAACAAAATGGAACTTCAAATTTAACAATATGCTTATTAACAAAAGGCAGCATTAAATAAAATAATAGACAATAAAAGATATTTAAAATGATTTTCGAATCATTTTTTGCTAAAATGTTTATTTTTTATAAAAAAAAAATGCATTTTGAAAATATTAAAATAATGAATAAAAACATAATGTATTCATATACGATTCAAATTTGCTTACACTGAAAATAAAAAATATTTTTTACAAAGATAAAACGTAACATTTGGTGAAACACATCATTCCCATTCATACTTTTGATTGTGGCATAATATTTTTTTAATGGGATTAAAAATTTTTTTTCACTAACTCTTTATCTTAGCTCATTCAATAACATTACATATCTTATTTTAAAATCTTTCAGAACTAGAATTTATGGCACTCTAATTTTATATTCCACCTTTTTAGAGACATCATGATTTAACTTTTACTGATATTAATCCTAGTTCATTTTTAATATATTTATATTCGCAGGAAAACAAAGGCACGTAAACAATTAAACATTGCATAATTATGTTCATTTAAAGTAATGCAGACTCCCATTAGAAATTAAATTTCAAATTGAAAATTTTTTAACACCAAATTTTAATGTATTTCTTAATCTTACACATAGGTCCTCTTCATCTAAAAGTATTTATATAAATAATAAAAAAAAATTATTATTAAAAAGGTTTAAAAAAAAAAAAACAGGCTACGTTTATTAAAAAAAACAGCTTAGACCAATTCAGATTCAATTTAACCGGCCAACTCTGATAAGAAGTATAATTGTAACCATTATATATTTGCTTGGTTAAATAAAATTGGGTAAAAATTAAACTAAACGAAGTAAACATTAATATTCGTTTTTTTTGTGTGTGTATATTATGAGGTAGTGACTTCATAAATATAAATACTAGAAATATATATGTGTGTCTGTGTGTGTGTGAGAGAGAGAGAGAGGGTATAATAAAGTAAATGTAAATATTTTAAATAAATCTCCTGAAAATAAAATAATTGAAAGTCTATTATTTTCCACACCAGATATTTAAGACTTAAATTATAATCTCGTAGAATGCATGTACAAATTTCTCAAGTTGAGGAAACAACTCAGTTTGCTCAAATTATTCTCAATTATAATTAATAAAGTTGCGGTGCTTAATAAAAATTTATATCTTTAGTTTATGCAATAAAGGCTCACTTAAATTCAAAAACATAATGCTATGTCACCTAAATTTTAATTATTTTTTGGAAGTTTTCTTCTTATAAATTCCTTGAAGGTAACTCCAATGAAATTTAATAATTAAACATAAAATTATACAATCTTGAACTGAGATTTCTTCTTATGTTTAATTATATTATATACAATTTTAAAGGATATTTAGACATAGTGTTCTGTAATGACCACCATTGATATATATTTTTAGAACCATTGTTGAAATTCATGAGAAAAAGGGAAGCAAATTGGGAGTTACAAATTAAAGTAGTGTAAAAAAATACCAGATTCAATATCAACTATAAAAAAATATTATATATAATCTACAGAATTAATATCACTAGATTTGACCTCTTAATTTTTCTTTAAAACATGAAAAAAATAAATTCTTATCTTGCGCTGTTTGCAATTCAGAGAATTAACCCCATTACACATTAAGTGGTTTCCAACTGCACATAAACAGGAGAGTGGTAATTGGTTGTTAATTCCATGTGATAATTTTCCTTTTGTTTCAAAAGAACTGGGTCTTATCTATACTGAGAACGAGCATGCAGACATTTAATGTGCTCACTTAGTAGAGTTCAACGATTTGGATAACAGAAAGCAAACTGATTTAACATTAAAACAAACAATAGACATTTTAAATCATAACAATAGGTTAGGAGTTAATTAAACATCGCTCAGTCTCTACTTTAAAAAATTTTGACGATCTTCTTGTATCATCATAGAAAAATTGAAGACGAGCAATAGGAAACCTACTAACAATCAACAGTTGATGAATTTTTAACTACATATAATTTTTATATTTTAAATATATCATACCTAAACACAAGGTGAGTTCTTTTTATTTCATTTTCAAACTCAGTATGAGTGGCTGAAATTGGTAAATTAATTTAAAGAAAGAATGAATGTTACCCTCTTATTAATTTAAAGAAAGAATGAATGAATGAATACTACAGAAAGAATGTTACCCCCTTTTTTCCCCCCGCCTAAATATTACATGGTCAGGGGGGAGAACAAATGTTTCTCAAGGATGTGTATCTATCCTTTTAGACCTATTCAAATTTTCCATTTTGACTCCCCCTCCACATTAACCCTTTTCCACAGTATTTCTTCTTTCCCTAACACTCTAATAATAAGGTTCCAAGAAATGCCTCTTACTAGCCATAGAAAAGAAGGGGGAGGGGACTCAGTTGCTCTCTTTTGAAAACAAATCTTCCTCTTTGTCCTGCATTCCAGAAGAGGAGTGTCACTAACGGTCACTCAATGGTCTTGGTAAATCTTCTCTACCTCGTTCTGGAGATTTATGGCATAAATCACTAGAAGCTAGAAAAGGTAAAAACATGTCAAAAGACCTCTTTTTTTAAGAGAGGGGATTATGAAGTGATGTTTGTTTATTTTGATTGTTAAAAAGTGTCCGGGAAATCGACCCTTCCAGAAAAGGGACGTTACACTGTAGTAACAAGTCTTGTTTCTTGAATAATAAAACTCATCTTTAGTCTTAATAAACTGCCTTTTAATCTTGTACCTGTATTTGTTTATATTTAGATTGGATATATTTTTATTACTATGTTATTAACACTTAATTAAACTAGTTGCAAGTTGCGTGTTTAGTGGTGACATTAATGTTACTTTCAAACAAAATCTAAGTTTACATCATATTTTCACAACTACAGTTTGTATAACATTTTTTTTTGTATTTAACTTAATAACATGATATTTTCTAAATTTCTTGGGACCACTATCCAAAAAGGATTTGAATGTAACTTGATTATCCTTTCTTCAGAACATTAAAAACTATGCAAATCATTTACTTTCATAATAGCCCATAATTTTTTGTATGTGTATTGCATTCTTACCAGGAATTTTCCACAGTAGAGGAGAATAAAGTCTTCCACCAGCATCAACATGAAATGTTTCCCCCGTAATAAATGATGCACCAGGAGAAAGTAAAAAGCAAACAGGAGATGATTTCTTAAAATAATATAAATGAATTTAAATTTTAAAATTAGCAAAAAATAGAAATGTTTATACACAGTAAAGGAATTTAAACAGATAAAAAATAAAAATGGTCCAAATTTCTCTATGCTTAAAAAATAATTTTATTTTTGTTAAATTATTAAAAAAAAATTTATTTTTGAGTGCAGTTAGTGAAACATTACAGTTGGTTAAAATACATGATTATTAAAACATAACGGCAAGGAAAAACAAGTCGTAAATAAAGTATGCCTATATTATCCAGAAATCAAGCTTATAAAAATGACTTTATTTTCCTATTTACTCAAATATTTTTGATGCAGACCTAATGAGAGATAATACATAATTCAATTTCAACTAAATATCTTTGATTTTAATAACAAGCTCAAATAACAAGAAACAGTCAGGTACAATAACAGACACAGAAATTTATTAACTGTTAAGTAACAAGAAAAATAAGCTAAAAAATGCAGTAAATACCTTTTAAAAAAAAACTAAAATAAAGAAAAGCAAAGAACAAGTTGACAGCACTAGAATATAAAAGGAACTTTGGCAACTGTTTATTGCATGAGCTCTTTCTATTAGTAAGCAAGATCAACAAAATGCTAATCAAGGTAATTGAATATACAGGCAAACAACTATTTAAACAAACAATATATCCAAAAGATGGGAAAATCCCAATTGAAAATGCAACACAGCCGAACTAAATTGTATAATATGAAAATGTATCAATATTAAATTTTAATATTTCAAAGAATGCCTCATAAAGACAAAATCGTTTATTTGGATGAGAATTAGACCAAGAGACAAAAGCAAGACGATGAAACTTAACAAACAGATCATAAATGCAAACAGGCACTCAAATCATATAAAGCAATACTATTTGAGCCTTCCTCACTAAGTTAAAAGCCTCTGGGTCTAATTTCCTCTAAATCCAATTATTTTGTCTTAACGTGAAATTTGTCTAATACTTATAATTTCATTTTTTTATCAGTTTGACCTAGTTACAAATTTTAAATTGTTGATATACATAGTGGCAATAGATATTTTTAAATATTTTCACTTCAATTCAATTTTATGTGTGCTTTTACTAGTGACTTGTATTGCAAGTTCAGACCTGAAGCCTCCTTCTTTAATCGTTTTTATTTCAAGTTATTCTACTATCATATTCTATGAATAGTCAAGGGTCTTGATTAGCATTTTGTTAAACTTACTCACCAGTAGAAACTGTTCAAACAATAACAACAAAACTTCATCTGATGAGGGTCCCGCCTGTTACTTTTCCCCACTTTTTCGGTATCGCAAAAGATGGTGCATGTTTTAGTTTATTAAGTTTCAAATTGTGAATTATAAATGCAATGCCACTATTGGCATTACATATTTCCTAGCTTTTAAAATATCTGTAATTATTTAAACTTATGTTTTTTAATCATTCTTAATCGAATTATAATTAAATTAAATCAATGAGTTAATTTTTATGGTAGCAATCAATTAGTTAATAATTTAATAGTTAATTATTATAAAAGCGAACATAAAATATTTTATTCTTTTCTTATTGATCAATGTAACAGCTAACTTTTTATTTCAATATTAATGTACTCATTAATTCACTGTTGCGCCTAATCGAAAACAAAAATCTATTTATAACTCTTTATTATCAATATCTTACAGCAAATATGTTTAAGTTACATGGTTATAATAATTCTCAATCGCCAAAGTATTTTCAAACCTAATATTGATTATGGGGGGTTGGCTTTATTCTGGCTATGTTATCTTTCAATAATTTGCCAATCTTGGATCTGTTCTACATGCTCCTGTGTCCGTTAGGAACAAATTCATTCAATTTTAATTTCAAATTTGTGGCGACTATGGGTGCCCTTTTGGGCCTCCCAGTCCCAACCGTTAAAATATCATTCATGTCAACAAAACTTCTCGACGTAGAGAATTTTGTCTTGATCCCTTTAATGGACTTCCTTTTCCTTATGATTTGTATATTTTAAATATGGCCACTTTGAATATACTAATTCTTACTTAATAAATTAAATTTTTACTTAAACAATTTTATTCATTTTTCTTGAGACAATACTTCAACTACCACTATATTATTAAATATGGCGATCACCGCCTGCATAATAATTTTGGTCATTTATGTGACAGCAATGATTCATTTTAAATGTTTGATATAAAGTAAATTTTACGATCAAAATGCTCTTCAAGTTTTAAATTCCAAATTGCTCATTCGTAACATACATATAAAGAAATGATAGGCAAAATGCTTACTTCTTCAGGCACCCCCAGGCGTTTGGAAGGAATATTTTCTTTAACCATATCATAAATATTAATGGGATAATTCTTAGCAGCTGTTTCAGAATATATGGAAGAACCCTTAATAATGCAAGAAATTAAAAACAGACAAATTAAAATTATTGAAACAAAAAAAAATCAACAAATAGAATGAAATATTTTGAAACATACAGGAGCAACAGCATTAATTCTTATGCCATTTGATGCCCATTCAATTGCTAAAGATTTTGTCAAATTATCTAATCCACTTCGAGCAGCTCCTGAATGCCTATAAAAAAATATTGTTTTTTTAAAAGTTTGTTTACATTAGAAAAAGCATCACTACGCAAATAATCCAAACTGAATAAATATTTAATGCAGAATATTATCTTGAAAATCATTATAAAAGGTAAATTTTTCAATTTAGAAAAACCACTCACCATGAGCCCACATTTATGAAAATTTTTGATTAAACTAGCTAAATTTAATACAGTAGAGAACCAATTATCCGGGATGCTCGAGACCATCGCTATCCTGGATGTCTGAATTTCCCGGTTTTCTGGATCGACCAAAAAGTGTCGTTAATCGATGTTTTATCGAACCCGAAGTACAAGGAAAAAGTGTAATGCATAAAGTAAGAGAAAAAAGAAAGGTACTCCTAACTTTAAAAAAAAAAAAAAATGGTAGAAATATAACATTTAAAAGAATAAAAAAATTTGCAAGTTTAGACAAGAAAATCAAGTTTAAAAAATACAAAATTCTCATATTTATTTTTTAAAAATAATTACAATTCCTAAATTAAATAATATAAACAAAACCAATGATTAAATAACGCAATATATTTCATACCTAATTATACGGGGGAAACGATAAAATAAAAGGAAAACTTATTAATCTAAATAAAAACACTTGAAAATTATCGAACCGAAACGATAGTTAAAAAAGGCACTAGCATAAATATTAAAACCTGGAACAAGGCAAGATCAACGGAATTTTAAAAAAAAACCTAATGATAAAATTTATGAATAAAAAGAATTAATTTATTGAGTGCGAAATTTATCGTGAAAAGAAAAAAAAATCAAACGTAGTGGAATCAGAAAAACAAAACTGCAATCTGCTTCATAAAATAATCCTATGTTTAAATAAATAAATAATTCTCCTTTTATTATTTTTTTTTGCTGATCAAAACACGATATTTAATCACAGCAGATGTGATTCCACATCAATAAAAACTTGCAAATGATACCGCACTTCCAAAGAATGAAAATTTATTCAGAAGAAAAAGATTTTATTTTTATTAATCGATGTCAAATAGATAAATATATTTTTCTCTTTCATCTTCCGTTCACTGATATGCTTGCAATGCATTTTCCCCACCCCCCTTGTAAATCAAACAGAAAACGAAATCAGCATGCCACACCCTTGAGCTCGATTGACGGCCTAAAGGAGAAAATAAAACATTCCTCCCTTCCCTGCCTTTAACGTCACGGAGGAAATGACGTTTCTCTGGGTAAACGGGGAAAAAATTCTCCCCTTCCTTACATTTTCCTCTACTCAACTTCAAGGATGAGTTAAATTTCCGCTTTTTTCATAATCGTTCTAGTTTAAAATGACGGGAAAACCGATCAAAAATTTTCCCGGTTTTCTGGATACCGGATAAATGGTTCTTTACTGTAGCATGTTTGGTAAAATTTCATATGTGCATTAGAACATACTTTTTCATGAGCAATTTTTTATTCTTTTTTGTCAAATTTATTGAGAAATAATTTTGGAAGCATGAAAATAAACAGAATTAGTGGCAAATGTAAAAAAAATTATTAGAAGTATTTTTTGCATAATAATTTTGAAATATGCTTCAGGGTTATTTAGAAGTAGTTAAATCATTTTTTAAAGTTATTGTCAACAGGTACAACGATGCAACCTTCAGGGTAAATGGCAACTAGACTGCAAGCTAGATCAGCCCATTTTTCTCTTTCCTATAAAATTTGAGAAGTTTGAATATCATGAGAGAAGTACCTGAATGGTTGCAAATGCATTTCTGGTTTCAGAGATACATGTAAGAAAAGCTCATTTCTTGTGCTTACTTTTAAAAAATTTTTTTGAAAGCGCATTCTTCATTGAGCTGATTTAAGTGTCGAAAAGTATGGTCTAAAAAAGGCGAAGCTGAAATTATAAAACTCTAAGAAAAAGAAGAAAAATTGTAAAATGTAAGCAGTATGGAATTTCATCTCTTTTGAAAAACAATAAGGCTTTAATGAAAGTGTAGGAAAAAAATGTAACCGATTGTGGAAGGCTAAAAAAAAAGCAGGATAAAGGATTTGATGGAGCTCTCTTAAAATGGTTTGTTAAACAAAGAAATTCTAGTTTGTCAATAACTGTGCCTATAATGAAAATCCAAACTACACAAAAAGCAGCTCTTGTGCTAGGTTACACAGGATTTTCATAGCCTAATGAATGGCTATATAGTTTTAAGCAACATAATTTTAATAAAAACATGCCATATAAGGACTATTTTATTTTGCAACAGTAACTTTATTCATGGCATGAAGTTGTAATCTGAGTCAACTGAATTCACTTATGTACAAAACATATATGAATTCTAGAAAATTTGAGAACTAAAGCATACACAAACTAAACATTTGCAAAGATGAAAAAGAAAAACTTTATCGCAAAATACTTTATTTTAAGTAATTTTTTAAAAAAATACTTACTTATATTTATCATTTTCAAAGAACTTTTTAACATTGAATTTTTTTTTTTTCTTTTGTAGCTGAAGTCCAATGCTGACTAACTCAACTATGAATTTAAAAGTCTAAATTATGCAATTTTAAATATGATGCAAAATTTAGTTTTCTTGCAAAGTCTAAACAAGAACACTACATTGTTGAGCAATCATTTTGTGTGCAAACCTTCTATGAAACATTAGAACGAAGTGAACTAATGGATTTTATATTGTTATTAGTTTGCCTCTTGTCACATTATTGTTATTAGTTTGCCTCTTGTTTTCTTGTTTATTATGATCTCTCAGCTGTTCAGCAGTAGAGATGGCTACTATTTTTCATAACAGCTATATTGGATCAGTTAAAGAATTTTTTTTATAAGCATACTTTTATATATGTTTATTATAAAATATTAATCAATTAATGTACTTATAAGAGTTATTATTTTATTTCATTAATGTTAAAGCAGTTTTAAACAAAACAAAAAGGCTTAATATATTTTATCACTGTATTATGTTATGATTAAGATTTATTTTTGGGCTTTAATAGTTTGAAATTGAACAGTCGAAAACAGTTCAATCAATAAAAACCATAATAGAAGATATTTTTCTCTTAATTCTATTAATGGATCTGTCCCTCTGTTGCATAACAGACAAGGAAACATATGCTACAGCTGTTTTTATTTCCGATTAATATAGAGGCCAGTTACTTTGCAACAGAAATTTATAATAGTTATGGTTTTGAATTGTAACAGTTATAACATTTTAATAAAAAATAACTATTATAACCCATCTTTACTACTGAACAGTTACTACCATGGCTCTTTGGTCAAATTTAGTTCACTAATGATCCTAATGACATTTGACATGTTAAAGTGATTTTAAATTATATAAAAGGGATTATTTTTCTTTTTAGGCAAAAATATAATATTTTTAAAGTAATTAACTTTTATTACAATGAAACAATGTAGGCTAATGTTTACTATTACCTGTCCACTTATTAATTATTATTTTAGGAAATTACTAGAGATTTTTTTCAATATGAAACAAATGAGAAAAAAAAAGAAATGATTTTCTTAAAATTAACCTGAGCCATAACATTAATTAATAAAAGATTTAATAGTATAATTTCAAAAAATGATTACTAAGATAATAACATACGCTGCTAGTGGTAGGCCTCTTTCAAAATCTATCAATATATTGATGATTACACCACCATTGTCTTTCATCCATTTATCATATACTGAAAAGTATTTAAATTGTTAACTACAAATGTGAATATCTACGATTAATAAATGTAAGTGTCAGTGATTAAAAAACGTATTATATTCCTTTTAATAATTATAAAATGATGTGAACTTGTTAGATTAGAATTGATTTTGGAAAACCTAACCATTATTTTGGCAGTTATAATTTTATCGGGCTTTTGCAAATAGTTTTTTATATTTTCTCCCAATATTTTTATAAGATTAAATACGACTTTTAAATTTCGAATTTGAGTTATCACTTTTTAAGGCATTTGATTTGTGATGTTTGATTTGTTTTCACTTTATTTTTAAACATTAAATTACACTAATTTTTAATTTTTCTAGTATTATGGATTATTTGTCTCTTTTTTTTAATTGAACATTATGCGAACATGAAAGTAATGATGTTTTCGTTACATTAAATTTTAAAATATATTTCAGCAAGTTGTTTGCTTTAATCAATGATGTAAACGTTATCAGAAACCTTTTGCTGTCTAACCTGCAAAACTTAAATTCTGGATTGATAAAAATCAGTAATATTTTTGAAAGGTATATTAGAAGCAGGTATTTTGAAAATTTTATAGTGATATATATGAAATCTAATGGTGTAAGGTCGGTCAATTATGATAAGTGATTGAAGTACTTTGACCTTTAATCATTAAAATTTACATGATAATTTAAGACCAGACTGTGCAAAACAATCCCTGAAAAAAATTACGAATAGGGGTGGAAATATTCCAATCACCCACCATATTTGCCCGACATTGCACCATCAGATTATCATATATTCAGGTCATTACAACATTTTCTATGTGACAAAAAATTTTATAATGTGGATGATATTCAAAATCCGATATTTAAATTTTGCACGCTATATGACAATGTTTCTGGTGATGTGGAGAATGCATCATAGATTAATAATTAAAACCTGCTAACTCTTATAGAATTTAATATAACATTATTTTCCAGTCTGATTAACTTTTGCACTCTGTTTTCATTATTTTTTTCAGCCTGTAAATATTATGTAAAATTTTACAAAATAAAAATAAATAAAATAACAATGAAATTATTTTCTCTCAATTCCTTTGAGGTTTGTTGGAAGAGTATAAAACATATATCCTTCTATCTTAGTTTTCCCTCCTAAAATTATTGATACATAATAATTATGTTTTTGAGAGAAATGTATACGTATGTATTTACATCATAAACGTAAATTCATATCATATATGTATTTATCTCTTCATTATTTCAGAGCTTCATAATAATATTTATTTCATTATACAAGTTTTGTTAAGATAAAAGTACATTATATAAGCAGTAGGTACTGCATTTTTTCAAAAAATAAAAATTGTAGATTTTAACTTATTTTTAAAACTATGAATCAAATTTGTCTTTCTCTATACATATTTATCATCCATAATGGAAACGGCCACAAAAAATATTCTTACTTACACTTGAAAATAGGCTTGGACCACCCCTGTCATAATCAAATAAGCATCTTTAATTAATAGTATTTGTTGTACAAGTATGCTTTTCCACAATAATGATTCCCAGTCACTAATGAAATTATATAAGATTTTATTCTGTGGTTCTTTCTGCCTTTCCATTCAGGTTAACAAATCAGGTTTTTTTACTACTTCAACAAGGGGAGTATCTTATATAATGCCCCTGAATGACTACTGATTATTTAGAAGTTTAATACCATGATAAATCTATTAAAACTAACGAGTTATTCATCTGATAAACAAAAGAATAAAAAATTTATATTCATTAGTTATACAGAATGAATGAAGAATATAAATATAATTATAAAAGTAGAGGATATGTTAAGTGACAATTTTTTTTTTTTGAGAAAAAGGAAACACTATGGTAAAAAATACTAAACCTGTATTAAAAGAAGCACTTTAAGCATAGAATTGTAATTTAAACTATTGATATATGGTTGCAATTTTATAAGTGCATTTGTTTTGTATTAAAACGTATTATTTCCTTATAAAATACATAGTCACATTTCAATTTTGTATTTATTTTTAATATATCTAAGATAGAAAAATCTGCTTAATGTCAGTTAGCTTTGGTTCTGATTAGATCGGATTATCCAGAGACTACAGTAGTTTAGATTTTAAATTTTTTTTAAAATTAATTGAATTGAATTCTTTTTTAAGAAAGATTTAATGGAGTTTTAATACTGACTTACTTAGCACACTGTGGAGCAGTTACACCTTTGCATAGCAATGTTTCTAGAATTCTTCTTAATTTAAGTGGAATAAGAGCAAAAAACAATTAAAATTACCTAGCCTCCATGTTTAATTCAAAAAATTAAAAAAAAAATTAAGCTTATAGATTAATTCATTTTTTTAAAGATTGAATTATGTGAGAACTTTTTTTTTTAAATTTTTGGTAAAAATATCTCGGGGGAAAAATTTAAAATCATACAACATAAAATTTTGTTCCTTACGGAAATTTTTCTTAAAAAATGGAAACTACATTTCTGCAAATAAAAAAAACTTAGTTAACCTGTAGTTTGAAAATATATCAATAATTAGAAAAACTTTTTTTCCCAATCAAATGAACAAATTTAATGTATGAACACTTAGAAAAGGGGAGTGAGGTAGTCATTCAACATCCTTGAAAGTAAAACTAAATATTCAGTAAAAAATAGTATTTCTAATTCTAGTTTAGGATATAAAACATTTAATTAAGTACATAATATAAAACAAGAACTTGATAAAATTTACATTAAAGAAAAACTAATATTTACCTGCCTGGACCTTTAAATTTGTTTCTATGACAGCATCCCATCCTTTAGTGGTTAGATCACCAACTGGACAGAGAAATTGTCCACCTCCATTGTTAATCAAAAAATCAATTCTTCCATACTTGGCCAAAGTTGCTTGAACTAAATTTTTAACCTAAAACAATATAGTCTGTGACTTAATTGATAATAGGGTTTGAAAAAGAGGCTCAGCTCAGAAAACACTGAATATTTCAAAATGGGCTCATCTGATTTTGAAATTCAGTCTTAACTCACACTTCATTTTCTTTTCATTTTAGCATTATCTTCTGTGGCAGACAAAATTTAGAAATACCTATTGGCAAAGGTGAAAAAAGGGGTCCGCAAATAATGAAGAGAGCCAAATTAAAAAACTTTTTGTATTACTAATTGCCATTAGATTACAATCTATCTGTGGTCATAGGGAATAAATAGAACTTATGATCTTATCACATTATTTACTTTAAGAGTTCATAAAATACAATATATTTAAGATAAGATATTTTACAAAAAATTCACTAATGCATAAAATTAGAAAAGTGCCAAATTTTAATACTTTAAGCTTATCTTCAAAACAAAAAAATTATATTGGTAACTTTAAAATATATTGGTATTTTAAAATATTTTTTCCCTGATTTCACAAGAGTGATATACATACTATCCAGCAAATGTTTTATAGTTACTATTAGTAAGGGCGCACACCCTTTTTCAGTGATGGGCCACTTGCACAGCAGATTGAATAACGAAAGGCTGCATTTGGATTTAAGCATGCTGACAACAAATATGATAATTTCTATTCAAAACATTAGTGCTTTAAGCACTAAATATTTTTCATCATTAAAATTGGTAATATATTTATAGAAAATTAAATACTTTTAATTATTAGAATTTATTCAAAAATGAAAAAGCTGATACTTTTTTTTACACAATTGTTACCCTTTTTATCAAAAATTGATATCTTAAAAAATATATATATAAATATTAGGGAAAAGAAATGGGTTTTTCTTTTAACATATCGAATAATACAAAATTTTATTTTAAAATAAATTCTAACAAAAAGGAAGAAAAAAACTGATGCTCACAGAATAAAAGTATCAACAAAAAAAATAATAAATACACATTTTAATGAGTAATATAAATTTAAAATGAACATTTTAATTAAAAAAAATATAGGACTTAAAATGATTTTAAACTTCAGAAAGTTTACAGCATTATTAACTTCCAAGGTTAAAAATTAAAAATAATGATTTTATTTTATCAGTTAAAAGGGATTTAGATTTTTTTATTGCTAAATTTCTGAGGTTGTTACCCCCTGACGACTTCAGCCTCAGTTTGTCATTATTATATTTGTCATAATTTTTATTGTTTTCTTCTTTGTTTACAATTTGCTATTGGTTTCAGTTTTCTTGTGGAATTTTTGCATTGCACAATTTTCCTTTGAAAGTGTAGTTTTAAGCTGTTTTTAACATATATTTTGATTTCTTTTTATTATCATAGCATTGTGCTAACTGTCAAAAAAATTGTGAAAAAGCAATTTGGATTTCTGATGAAACAAACAAAAAATTGAATCGAAAAGTGATTATTTAAATGTACCGGCCTGTCATAATAACATCATAGTTAAAAAACGAAAGGTAAAAATAACATGGTGACAGATCACAATAACTGTAGGAAAAAAACGTGTTTAAGCTTATGATGATATCAGGATGAATAAAGCATGTCAATAAGTAACTATCTAAAAGTGTTTATTTATAATTAGCATAGTGTAATAAAAATTAGAATTTTTAAAACCACATGGGAATGTGGAGCAATAACTGACTACAAACATGGTTAAAAAATAACTTGGATTTACAATGGCACACTGTGGAACAAAAATTATTTTTCGCAGTCAAAAATAAAAAAATGAAGTTATATGAAAAAAAAATCTCAATATGGTTTTTTGTAGTAAAATGTCCAAGGAATATGATGGTGTATTTTGTTTTCTTTTTTCTTTCGGTTTATTAATGAAAATAGCAATTAAATGGAAACAAAGTCGAATTAAAAAAAATTAAATTTTTCAGTTAAATTTTTATTAATATGATAAATCCTTATAGTAAATAAAAATATCAAAGCTATGCATGATTTATACATAAATGTATTTCTAAGATATATATGAATTCATTATTTTACATAAATACTATTAAAACCAGAGCCATTTCCCTATTTCTGCCCTGTGCAATGAAATTGTAACTTTAGGGTGCTCTCGTTGCCGAGGTTAAAAAAAAATGTCTACATTTGTTTGGTATATATACTCAAGAACTAAAAAAAAAAAAAGCTGCGAATATTTTCGAATTTGGCTGATATATCGATTTTTATAGTTCGTGTCATTTTTATAATAATGATAAAATTAATGAAAATATTAAAAAAAATAAACTTGAGATTATCATTTTTGTTATAACATTTTCAAAATTTTTTATATCTAGCAAAATAGATTCATCATTTTTTTTAAATTCGATAATCGAATTTGTAATTAACAATCTTAAATATTTTTATTCAATTTATTTAGTTTAAATTTGCTTTGATCAATATTTGCGATTTTACATCCATTACTTTATTTATTAAAATTATTAACCACAAATTTGTAATCAAAGATCTCAAAAACTACTAGTAAATAATTTTTATTTATTTATTTACAATTTTTTCAATTATCATCCGCCATTTTGTTTTTTTTTTAAATTTTGACTTCATATTTGAAATCAGCGACCCAAAAAACATATAGGTGATCAATTTTTAGAACATTGAAGTTAATTTTCTAATTTTGGCCTCATTTTTCTGATTTTGTCCCACTGTGTGGCATGGGCACAAACAAAGTGATTATTCAAATGCGTAATTTGCAACTCGTATGTTTAAATAAAAAATACAGGATTCTTGGTAAAAAATACAGGATTTTCATAATCAAGTCGAAGAGTGCAGCAATAAAAAAAATCATTTAGATTAACGATGAAATCGCCCAAAATAAAACATTTCAAAAAGTAATCGCTCAAATGTGCAATTTATAATTTCAAGTCATATATCATATTAAATGTATCAGGATTTTAAAAACCAAATGGAAATTAGTAGTTATAACTGCCAAAAAAATTTAAAAATTATTGAATTAGTGATGAAACTGGAAAAAATAAAGTTAGATAAAAAGTTCAAATTCGCATATTGAGATATCATATTGAAAATATTGGATTTTTGAAAAATTATGTGGAATTCCAAAGCAATTACCATGGAAAAAGCAATTGAGAAACATAGATTTATAATAAAATCTGTGCAAATTGAGCGCATCAAAAGTGATGACTCAAAATATTAGAAGTTTTTTTTTTTCAAATTTCATTGTGTTCAGAAGCTCTTGTGGGCTGCAGGTTGAGCATCTCGATTATTAGTCATATTTTAGAATTACCCCAAAATTAAAGTCTATGCATTAAGGATTTCGGCTTTTTTTAAAGAAATTCCGAATTTTAAGATACCTGACCCTTGAAAAGTTCTGAATGAGGTTTCGGATTAAGAAATAAAATTATAAATTTTTGTTTCAACAGGCTGCTCTCACTTTTTCAAGTCTTTTTATTTTTATTTTCCAGAGTTACAGAAAGACCTCTACACCTCAAAAGAGGAGAAAAACATAACAGGAGTGGCGAGAAAAAATCTATGAACTGAATAAGTCCCTTGCGCTCCAGTAGCGGTCGCATAAAGAGATGTCCTTTGATGCTGGGCAATGGGGATGGTGGTCTGCATCCATCCAGTTCTGAAGGTCACAGAGCAAAGGGCCTGCGCAACATGAATTTGATGAAGATGTTTAAGGAGGAAGTCGTGTTCAGTCAGTGGTTAGCTGAAACTCAGCGACTGTTTTGCGTCTTGGCCACATAGGGTGATCTTGAAGATTATTCCACCAAATCTTTCTGGAATTTCGCTCTGTGATTTGGTTAAAAGTGAGATCCTTAATCTTTTTCTTGATTAGGAGCTAAGCATTAGCAAGAGAGGCAGCTTTTTTTTGTTGTTGATATTTGTAGGATAGAAGCTCCCTGCTCTGCGGTAGTCTGCTGACTCGTTACCAGGTATACAGCAGTGTCCCGGGATCCAATGCAGAACAATTTCTTTAGAGAACACAAACAGGCTCTACAGATATTTTTTGCATTCGAAGATGTTGGTTGCTAATCGTTTCTAGAGCAAGCGTCCTTAAAATAGAGATGTCTTGATCTCTTTTGAAAAATACTTAGGTGGTATTTATGAATAGTTGGATCCAAAAGTAAAACTAGTGGCTCGAGACAGAAATTTATATCAAGTAGCTCTTTAAGTTCCAGGACACTGATGCGCAAAACCGCATTGGTCTTCAAACATCTCCCTGTGCCCAAGGAGAGTTCGGTCATAAGAGAGTCTTTGGCAAGAAATTTTATATTTTTGCTGAACACAGAATTATTTTAAAATTCCTGGCCCCTAATAATTCAGTTATAAGATCCCCAATTTAAAAAAAAACAAATCATGGCATTTATTTTAAATACCTCACAATTGCTTTGAAAATTAGAATTGTGTTTTTTAATTTAGGGAAGAAATACTTCAATTAATGTTTTCATTCTCAGTCAGTGTTTTGAGATGTGTTAGATGATGATTAAATATATGACTTACGATAACTCATTCCCATTCATCACATGAAGGCAAGACAGAAAAAAAAAATTTACTTGCTATCAATATCATTGCTTTGAAAAGAAACTGTTTTGGTGGGTGCCAAATCTATTAATTGAAATTTAAACTTTATCCTGCATTTGTGATGCGATAGCCGTAAATCATGACTCACGTTTTCTTGCTCTTTATGAATGCCTCGCTATTTACACCCTTTCAACGCTTGCTTTCACTTAGTTCAGTGGCATAAATTACACCCCCGAAGAGCCTGGGGAGGCACAAGGTTTTAGGGCACACGATCCATAAATAATACACTGCACGATAGGGGTGCACATCATGTAGCCCGCCAGCTCTTCGTGTGCGACACGCGAATATAGGAATAATAACAAGTATTACATATATTTCTTTTTCTTGAAAATAAAAAAAAATTAACATTTTGAATTATGCATTTCAGTTATGGAGGTGCTGAATCTAAATATTTCATTGCATTATCCGGTGGCAAATTTCTATAGATTTGAAAATCCCAATACTTTAAATATGACAAAATTATGTGTGAATTTTGAACTTTAGTAAGAACTCTGCTCATGCATTTAAATATGCGCTATATTTACTGAGCCGATTTCATCACAAATCCAAGAGGTTTTTTTTCTTCTTCATATTGTTCTTTTAACAGTTATTGCTTTGCTTTTCCACAGGGTTTTCAAATCAGGCATTTTAATCATCACTAAAGCCCGGAATTTCAGGCAATGAAAAATGCAAAAATAGGCAGGCAAAAAGGCATTTAAAAAGCTTGAAATAGGCACTTAAAATTGGAACAAAATGTTAGTTGGTAATGCCTAAAAGCCCATTTAGGTATCCAAGGTATAAAAAAAGTTGCTAGAAGTATCCGGTATACCTACATATTCATTTTACTCGACTGTCGTAGCAATAGTACAAAAGAAGTGGACATAATTGCACAAAAAAAAAAATCCTCAACTGCGTAAGTGTGAAATAAAAATTGAAAACTCATACTTACAATAATATTGTATGCAAATTTATTCTGATGATTGGTTGTTGTTGCAAATCACAACTAGATGCTTTTTCGAATTTTCAAAAGAGAAATTTTGTCTCCTGTCAGTCAATATAGTTTTAAACAAAGAGAAGGATCTTTCTACTTCGAGAGAAGTTATGGACGCATACCTAAAACAACTTGCCATGGTAGGAGATATGGTAAGTTCAACTGTAGTATCACCAGAAAGTACTTTTGCAATGTCCTTGATGCATTCAAAGTCTGTATTTGCAGAGTTGACGTTTTCACATTTCTTCCTTATTCTGTCACCAGCTGGTTCAGGCACAGACATTAGTTCTTCAATAGTATTGTCGAAAATCTTTAGTGACTCGGACAAAGACATATTTCTTTTTTCCATGTGTTCAATAGCTCCAGGGAGCTTCCCAAAATAAGTTGAAATAAAAGTCAGTTCATTTTTAATTTTAGAACTGCTAAGCAGATTTTTACTTTTTCTTATGGATATTGCCTCTTCATCCGAAAAGCTGGTAAGGACTCGAGTAACTTCCTCAAAATTTGTGCAGTAGTATGAGACTGCTGAAATCCATGTTCCCCATCTNGGCCAATACTTACCTATGGCTCTGAGACCTGGAACCTAACTCAAGCTGGTGAAAATAAAATTGCCATTTTTGAGAGAAAAGTTTTGAGGGCCATCCTTGGTGGGATAAAAATAAATAATTCCTGGAGAAGACGATATAATACTGAACTGTATAAAATCTACAGAGAGCCAGATATTGTGAAATTCATTAAAATAAATCGAATGAACTGGGCAGCTCACATTTTCAGAAGGAATGATGACTCAAATTTAAAGAAAATCCTATTACACAAACCCCTAACGAACAGGAAAAGAGGTAGACCCAGGCTGAGATGGCTGGATTTAGTTGAGACTGATTTCCTTACTCTAAAGGAGAAAAACTGGCGAACAAGTGTCAAAAGTAGAGAGAAGTGGATTCGAATTCAAAGGAAGGCACTGGCCCACCCTGGGCTGTCTAGCCAGATATGATGATGATTATTACATAATGTGGGTTTGTAAACTGCTTACTGTTTTTGAACTTCATTTCTAATTTTTTGAAGCGTAAAAAAAAAAAGAGTTAAAAGAAAACGGTCTTAAGAATTCATAAAATTTTGCATAATTCATTAAATATGTCGTAAAATTAAATATGTACTAAATTCAAACGCATAATAGCAAAAATGTATGCATGAATTAAAGACTGATCTCTTTATAGCCTGAAATAAGATTACAACTGAATAATTGAATCTTATTTTGAGCTATAATGCATTTTTTCCCTTCTTTTTTTAAATCATTTTAAACCCCTTACAATCCCATTAATTAAAATGCTTAATTTGCATTCATGTAGCTCAATAAAATATCTATTCATTTTTCTTATTTAATTCAAGAGCATTTCAGTTAATTTATTTTAAAATGCACTTTTGCGTTACGTGATGTGATAACAATAACCATAACTTTTTCCCCATTTCTTTCTTTCTTTTTGATAGAACTATTTTTTTGATCAAAAGTAAATACTTCTATTGTGAAAAATATCAGTTTGGTATTCTTCAGTTTTGAATGAATTTTAATATTCAAAAGAATTTATTTTTATGGAAATATATTCCTAAGCTGATAAAAAAAAAATAAACAGAACTAACAAAATAAAAAAAAAGAATTATTTAAGACTAATTTCCAGGATAAAAGTTAAAAAGAATTTTGTTTGATACATCAATGTTTTCCTAAAAATTATTATATTTATCGTCAACAAGTCTTAATACTTGGACATGCATCCCTAATAAATAAAAATATTTTTTAATTCACTTAAAAAATAACTTATAACTAAATTTTGATTATAACTTTTGTAAGATAAAGAGTTATTTTTGCAAATTTTTAAGATTAATTTCATTTCACTATGATAAGACACTGTTCTAATTTAGTGCCTTTTCTAAATTCCGCTTTTCCATTGTAATTTTTAATTTCTTATTAATTAATATTAAAATAATTTAAATTAAAATAAAATGAATGATAATAAATGCCCAAATGTCTTGCTATTGTGTTGTAGTTTCATATTATAATTTTTAAAATTTATGTTAAGTCTAAGCTAAAATGTATACTTAAATCTCGCATGGGGGTGCCCTTTAGTCTATCTACGCTGTTGACTTAGTTATTGCACTTGAAGCAGTAATGTTTATATGTAGACCCATTACTTCATTAATTGTGAACATCTGGGCTATGAACATGAATGTTTGCTAGTAAGTTGTTCTAAAAACTCTTAAAATAATTCCATATCTACGAATGTATTTATTTTCAATTCTAAATGCTATGTTGCTCATCATTGCAAAAAAAAAAAAAAGTGAAACGCAGATAATCAGGGGTTTACTGTACATTGAAATTCTTATTAAGATTTATATTTATGAGTAAAACTGTAAATGCATAAAAAGGAATGAAAAATTTAATGCAGAAAAATTTATATACACATTTTTAACTCTGATTTTGACATTTTTGGAAACATATTAAATAAACAGATGATAAACTAAAAATTGCTATGCAGGGCAGCCTTAATAACAAACCTCTTCCTCTTTTCTAATATTGCAGACAATACTTATAACATCAGGAGACTTTTCTCTTAACGTATTCTTCATTTCCTCAGCAGCTTTTAGAAGTTGTTCTTCCTTCCTTGAAGCAATAACCACTTTACAACCTGAAATTTCAAGATATTAGTAAAGTATGTCAGCACCTCATAATAGTGTGAAGGGCAAAGTTAGGACAAATAGACTCTGGTCATCGACATACTCAGTTAGAAAGTACACAAACAATTTTCTTACTTTTGAATAAAACATAATATTTACTTTTTATGAAAAGCATATTGAAAGTTAATTATAATCTCGCTTGGATAATAATTACACAGTCAAACTTCTGCACCTCCAAAATCTGGTAACATTTGCTTTTAAAAGTAGAATTCTAATTTTTCCTCCAATTTATTTAGAATAAAATATGTATTAAAATATATAGATAGTTTTTTTTCCCTTTCTGTTATTCAGTGGTCTAATGGGCTTAAGAAGGTGAGGAAGATAAAGGTTATTAAGCAGACTCTGGATGAAAGCCAATGCTTTGATAAGCAATCAATTTTTTCTGTTAAATATTTTTATAACCATTCCAAGGGCAGAATAATATAAAGCAACATGTTAAAAATGGTTATAAAAATGTCAACAGAAACTCATAACATAATTTTAACTTAAAACATAGAAAATTACAGAGCGGCTAAACCTTATTAAAGACAAAATACTGATAGCAGGAACATTTTACTTTTACTCTAGGTTTGCAAGCAAACTATCAGTATTAATAACAATTATGGAGTCTTCTTTTCAAACTAAAATGTCTGATTTGACTCTTAATAAATAGTGGAAGGTATGGATACAAATAAAATTTAATACTGCTAGGACTCCTATATTTTCTGAAAAATCTAGGAAAATTGGCAGCCTTGTAAAAATTACGTAGTTAAGTTTAAGAAGTAAAACCTATTATAATTTTACAAATTTACATTACTGTCAAAAATAAATTGGAGAGTTTTTGCTCTATCATGCCAGAAAGGGTTACTATTTGAATTACTTTAAATATAATATGAGACCATGTATTTAAATGTATAATTTACTTCAAAACACCTTGGTTCGGATTTCAAATTACAGTTACATCGCCCTTGGGTTACCAATTGCAATATGGGTCGATGATGTGGCACAAAATAGCTCACCTATAATCAAACTACGTCTTAACTAGTAAAAACATTTAGAAAGCGTCGACACCTCTTCATAGTTTCTATCATAAATAAAAATAGATGTTGATGTTACAAGCACTGACTATTCAATTGGCAATCTAACTTTAATTATAAATATCTTACCTAGGTATAAAAGTTCAGTACTAATTGCTTTTCCGATTCCTGTTCCCCCACCAGTCACAATTGCAACTTTCTTTTTAAATAAATCGAAGCGAAACACACTGAAATTTTTCGTATTTGCCATGATCATATTTCTTACAAAATTATGCACTTGAGCACAAAAAATCTTAACCTTAACACATTGGCAGAAAACAAACCTTTACAACAAGGAATGAGATGTGTTACCATGATTTGCTATAATTACGTTTTTATAGAAATTCAAACACATAAAAAATTTAAGGATGTTAGTTTTGTTAATTGTTTTCTTTGTACATGAGTGATTATCAATATCTATCGCTTTCGACTATCTTTCTCTGCTTCAATCACGAACTCTGAACAATATTCTCAGTTTTCTTAAAGGCCATTCTTGCTTTATGTAATTCACGCCATCTGCATGTTATCCACGCATGTAATTCACTCCAATTAGACAGCCGTCGAGAGAGAACAAGGGCGTGATTGATGCAATATATTTTCCCGCGAAAAACAGAGTGTTCCTTTTCTCTCGACGGCGATCAGAGGTGCGTGGATCGCTCACGTAACACTAGAGCAGCACACTGGGCCATTGGCTATGGTCTGGGACACATCCCTGAGGATGATCTGAAGACATGCCGTGACAATTTTAAATCGCAGCAGGGGTGAATTCATTTGTGGGGCCACTTCCTCAATTTAGACATAGATTTGAAGAGGAAGGTAATTTTCTTCCGATACCTGTGCCCATGATCAGTGACCAACCACTAGACTTTCGATTCCTCAGATTTTACGAGCTTGTATATCGCACGCACTCAGTGGGACTAAAGGATCGAGCCCCGGTCCCTTTAAACCGAAATCTGACTCTCTAACCACTGAGCTACTATGACTCGAAGTACCAGTCCGAACCACGTCTCGGGCTGCCACGGTTCCGTAAAAAACCGGTTTTATTCACAAAGAGAGGGGCTCAGACTATTTTCTGAGATCCCAGCCGTAAATATAGGCTTTGCGCGTAATCAGATCAGACGCGCAAAGTCTATACCTAGACCATTTAAACGCTGTTTAGTTTGAATTCTGATTTTTTTTACTTCTTAAAACCAATATACTATTTTGTATATTGCTCAAAGATGTTCATTAAACTGCTTGCAATATATTAATTGCTTATTGAACGTTTTGAATCCANCTAATATTTGCAATTTTCTATGACTCGAAGTACCAGTCTGAACCACGTCTCGGGCTGCCATGGTTCCGTAAAAAACCGGTTTTATTCAGAAAAAGGGGGGGCTCAGACTATTTTCTGAGATCCCAGCCGTAAATATAGGCTTTGCGCGTAATCAGATCAGACGCGCAAAGTCTATACCTAGACCATTAAAATGCCTACCTAGACCATTTCAACGCTGTTTAGTTTGAATTCAGATTTTTTTTACTTCTTAAAACCAATATACTATTTTGTATATTGCTCAAAGATGTTCATTAAACTGCTTGCAATATATTAATTGCTTATTGAACGTTTTGAATCCAGAGATTATTCAATACGCGTAATGATGTACTAAAGTATCGGTTTTGCCTGGTTTCGGTTTTCAGAGTTTGGGTAAATTTCAACCGAAGAAAAGATATTTGCTTATTCAAATACTGTTGTTGTTGTTGTTAATTTACGTCGCACTAGAGCTGCACAATGGGCTATTGGCGACGGTCTGGGAAACATCCCGGAGGATGATCCGAAGACATGCCATCACAATTTTGATCCTCTGCGGAGGGGATGGCACCCCCGCTTCGGTAGCCCGACGACCTGCGCGAAGTCGAGCACTTTACAGTTTAACGAGGACCAACACCGCACATCCTCGGTCCCTACGCAGACTGATCCAAGTGGTCACCCACCCGCACACTGACCGTAGCCAGTGATGCTTGACTTCGGTGATCTGCTGGGAACCGTGTCTTAACGATCAGTCCACTGCGGGACGCTTATTCAAATACAGTTACTTGCTTAAGGCATCGTTTTCTTATTATAACTAAAGTTTAAGTGCTTATTTAAACTAAAAATTAGAGATTTGCTCAGAGCTTGATTTAGAAATCGGGGAACCCTAGGCACATAACTGCTGCCGGCATTAATAATCAAATTTACACGTTGTTCATTTACAAAATAACAAAATACTTTGAAACTTTTTGTAATATAAGTAAATTTTAATATATTTGTGCTTACACATTTATTTAAATATTTGTTTACACATAATTCTAATTTTTAAGGAAAAACACGCACACACACAAATTTTTTTTAAACATTTAGTTAGCTCCCAGACATGAAGAGATCCTAAGCCCATTCCTCTCAGGCCTTGGCATAATTCATGCCCTGAATGAGTTGTAGACATTTAACTAAACAAAAACAAGACCAAAACCTTTTAAAGTTTATTAGTTTACTATTGTCATTTTATAATCATTCAAGAATGGCAAGTTTCGTCCACAGTGGAAGCAACAGCCCTGAAATAGGTTTCTTCCAACCTAGAGGGAAGAGATTGAAAAAAAAGCCTTTTCAATTCAGAAGAATTAAGCATTAAATTCAAGTTTTAAACAGTTTATATTAGCAATCTTAATTAAATGATAATATAATTTTAAAGTCAGTAAGTTGAAAAGCAAAAATATGATTTTGATATCTTTCTCTATAGATTTTTTCTCTATAATAAATATACTAGTAAATATTTATTATTTTTTATTATTTTATTTAATAATGGTAGAAAATATTTTGAACTGTAAGCATACCTGCCAACTTTTACGCATTTGGCGTAAAATTTTATTTCTATATTTAAAGTGGTAGCAAAATGTATGCTTTCTATATATTCCTTGCATTTATAAACTTAATTTATAATCATTTTTGACCACCACTATTTTTAAGAAAGTTAAGCATATATATTAATATGTATTTCTGTCGAGGTACTCCGTTTAAGCGCTTTCACAATACAGTGTATGTTTCGGTCTGAAATTGTAATTTAAATTACATTTTACTACCACTGGGGAAAAGCATCCTCGAAAGAATTAAAAGTTGGCAGGTATGCTGTAAGGCAGACAGGCCCCTCTTCCCCACTGGGCACTATGGGCACGTGCCCAGGGCCCCGCGATCGAATGGGGCCCCCTAGTTCCTGCCAGATTACCAAATGATAACCGATACATTATTACCGAAAAACATTAATTTTGAAAAATCTGATGATAATGACTTACTACAATACCTACGCTTATTATATTAGCTTTAGTTTGCCGCATGCGGATAGCTATACCTTGTACAACATAGCTTGAACTTTTTGACAGATGGGTCAGTGATGGGAAACAGAAAATATCTATTGGTGTAAAAAATGTGTTGGCTAAATATGTGGCTGTATGTATGTTTTAAACTATTCAAAATAAATAAATTCATTCGTCAATCAATTTTATTGCACTAGACATAAAAACATTGGGTAGGTAAGAAACCATTGTTTTCAGTTTTTCTATTTAAATTTTACCTCGAAGCAATAAAAACCACTTAAGACTTTCGGAAAATGCTTGAGTCCTTAACAGGTACTTNTTTTCTGTTTTAATTTAGTTACAACGCCCGAATGATTGCCACCCATGGCAGGAGCGCCATCCGTAGTTATGCTGCTAAGTATATTCCAGTCGAAGATTTCGCCTGTTTCTAAGAAATGTCGTTGCTGTCTATCTCTCTCGCTTGTCTAGGCACGCGCTGCCCTTGAACTTACTTATAAATGTAGTGTGCACATTTTAAAACTTCCGTAGAGGAATCGAGTGAAGTCTAAAAGCTCTAAAAAACACGATTCTTCTTTCTGTGACATATCGCGATCGCGGGCCGCATTGATACGAACCTGGGGTCGGATGCGGGCCGTATCTTTGACATGACTGCTGTAAGGTATACAATTTTTTTACAACATTTTAAAGAATGTAGTTTTACTTGGCAAAATACTACATTTGAGCAAGATCGGTCGAACAGTTACTGAGAAATCAAATTTTAAGTGTCTAACTTTGTGTGTTTAAGTGTCTTTGAAATTCAATTTCTCAGGAACTATTCGACCAATTTCGTTCAAATTTTGCATTTTGCTTTGTAAAATGACATTTTTAAAATGACGTAAAAAATTATATAATTTTACATTTCAAAATTTTTCGACTATTATTGAATAAAATAATATAGAAAAATAATTTACTGTAAGCTATTTTTTGCATGAATTTATCTTTGGATAAACAAATTTTATAATTGTGTGCAAAACTTTTAAAATTTGCTCGAAAGTTTTTAAGATATTATAAGGTGTTCAAGCTTTGGAATTCTCTCCTGACCAAACTATTGGGACCATATTTCCCAGATTGCAGCTATATTTTGGGGGTCAGAAATCCAAATCTATGGAAAAAAAGGCATGTTTATCCAGAGAAAGTACGTTTTCGTGTTTGATTTTGTAACTTAAATTATCGTCTGCACTTATTAATTAGCTTATTTGAGGTTACATCTTTAAGCCATTAAGATTGAGTCTGAAAACGTGCAAATCCGATCAATTGATCAAAAGTTATTCATGGTGGTCCATTTTGGGGGGGGGGGCTCAATGTACAAGCTCATGAATGCCTATTTGGATGGAAAAAAATATCCCTACCGAAATCTGACAACTCGTTTTTCTATTATCCTCGATAAGATTTTCGGATGATCCGAAGACATGAAATCACAATTTTGATCCTCTGCTTAGCTACCTGCCTACTACTCTGCTACCTACGTACGAAGTTGAGCACTTTGCGGAAAAACAGTTTAACGAGTAGCAATACCGCACACCCTCAGTTCCTTCGCAACTGATAAAAGTGGTCACCCACCCGTTCGCTAACAGCTGACCGTGTTACTTGACTTCTGTGATCTTCTGGAAAACATATATTACTATCAGTTCACTGTGGGACCTGAACTTTAAAATATATTTACGGAAATAATAATAGTTTTTGAAACTCTTGTAATCTATTTTTTTCATCATTTCACCCATTCAAGGCCAATGCTAACATGAATTTTTATAAATTATATAATTATTGAAATCTTTCTGGGAGAAAAAAGGCATTTGTGTTAACCATAACATATATACATAATAAATACCTATATTTCGATTTTTAAAAAATTACGGAACTGTGATATTTTAAAACCAAAGAGGTAACCAACTCTGGAAAATATATCTTGCATAAATGGCACACCGCTTTTCTCAGAAAGGTTATTTTGAACATTATTACAAAGTGATATGTTTCGAAACAGTAGTCCGAAATGAGTTGATTCGAAATTATTGGTGTAAGCATGATAGATTTATCTATAAGACAATAATTATTATTAAATAAATGAATAAATTTTGAAAGTTTAAGCTTTTTTCCATTATTACGTTAAAAGAAGTGCTCGATTGAAAGATGATTGTAAGAGTATGCTTAAGTGGTTTTCTCAAATCGCTCAAAAAGTATAATATACAGCCGAGTTCATTTTAAAAGCATAAACAATGTGCGTAAATATTTTGTACGTGTGTTCTTCCTTAAAATGGATCTATAAATTCAAGTTGTAGCTTTTTCTTGAAATGGTAATCGAATATTGAGTTTATTATTTGGAAATTCGAGCATTATAATTTATGTTTGGAAGCGTGTCTTAAGAGGATGCTGTACCACGGGAGAAACTTTTCAACACAAATTCTCTTTCCCAGCCATAAGTATTTTAAAATATATTCTACAGAAAAAGTGAGTACAGACAAACCAAAGCTAAGCAATGAAGTTTCAAATACTGAAAAGAAATTCTCAAAATATCTGAGTGAAAATAAATTATGAGAAGTTAACTTAGGATTACGCAATGGGGTAGTTCTCTTCCAATAATTTGTTTGCATTTTGGTATTTTCAAAAAAAAAAAAAAAAAAAAAAAANAAAAAAAAAATTGGCATTCAAAACTTTGTGGTTTTCTTGGTTTTCCTGAACTTCCTTTTCCAATAGTTTATATTTTAAATGAGATATGGAGTTGAAATAGAATTGCAATATAAATTAATGAATGGAGCTATTATAACACTAAGGGTTCGAACTATAATTTTTTTCGCGGTAAAGAAATTGTGTCTGATTGGATTATACTTTTTTCGAAAGTGGTGGTCCAGAATCCGATTTATCACGTTGGTTGTCTAC